AAAAAAAAAAAAAAAAATTTTTTTTTTTCTTTTTAAATTGAATGCTTAATGCCCTTTATTCTATCTTTGTTAGTGTGCTCAGTTAGAATTTGGCCTCTGCTCTATTCTGTCAGATTTTCCTCTTTATCCTCTCTGTATCTCTGAGTTTAACAGATGTTTAGAGTAGACGATAACCAGTGGTGATTGTTTCTTTCATATGCACATTTATCTTTATTCACAAAGCTGGCTTTCTTTTTATTTGACATGTATATTTTTTGCATTCTCTAAACCAATTTTCTTATACATTTGGGGCTTCAACTTGTTTCTGCCAATAAGCAGACTTATTTATAATTACAATTTGTATGCCTGCCAAATCTTCTCTGTGTACAAACTGGTTATCACTAGGTTCTAAAAAGTTTTTATAGAGTTAATTTGAAAAACTGTTCTTCATAATTGTGTACAGTTTCTAGAGTTTTACATTTATGGACTTACCTTGCATGCAGTATCTTGAAGATAGAAAAAGTGTAGGCTGTCCTCAAAATGTTGGAGTGAGAAAGTAAGATGTCTTGTTGCCAAATATAAAGTTGTTTTTATACTGTCTCTGCTCAAAACCCTTTTTATTTTTCTCCTTTAAGCCTTCCTTTTTGATTGAGTGGACTCTGTTCTCTTCTGAGGTTATAGTTTTTTGGATACTTGTTTAGCAAACTTTTTGTCAGCTACTTGGCAGCTCACTTCCACAACCCTCACACTCCTCTTTTTACCTAATTTTAGTTGTTTGGCAAACATCTGTAATTTTGTACAACTTGGGCAAAAATGATTTATCAATGTAGCTGTATAACTGTTAAATAAAAATAATAGAAATTATACATCATGAAAAATGGAACCTTATTAAGAATTTTCTTTAAATAACTTTAAGTTCAGGGGTACATGTGCAGGTTTGTTATATAGGTAAACTTGTCATGGGTGTTTGTTATACAGATTATTTTGTCACCCAGATATTAAGCCTAGTATGCATTAGTTCTTTTTCCTGATCCTCTCCCTCCTCCCACCCTTTGGTGGCCCCAGTGTATGGGGTTCCCCTCTATGTGTCCATGTGTTGTCATCATTTATCTACCTTTTATAAGTGAGAACATGCGGTATTTGGTTTTCTGTTCCTATTAGTTTGCTAAGGATAATGGCTCCAAAACGATGCAAACTCTGGAAGACAACCTAGGCAATACCATTCTGGACATAGGAACAGGCAAAGGTTTTATGATGACACCAAAAGCAATTGCAACAAAAGCAAAAATTGACAAATGGGATCGAATTAAACTTAAGAGCTTCTGCATGGCAAAATGAACTATTAACAGGGTAAACAGACAACCTACAGAATGGGAGTAAATTTTTGCAAACTATGCATCTGACAAAGGTGTAATATCCAGCCTCTATAAGGAGCTTAAACAAATTTACAAAAAGAAAACAACCCCATTAAAAAGTGGGCAAAGGCCGGGCGCGGTGGCTTACGCCTGTAATCCCAGCACTTTGGGAGGCCAAGGCGGGTGGATCAC